CGGCTCCTTTTTCTGAGTCCGAATCGCGGGCACGGCTGCCATTGTTACAAAATGTGACAATAGAACGAGCCGAGAGGCAGATGCAGGGAACCAGGAGCAGAAAAAATAAAAATAAACTCAGTAGGAGAAGTTGTGGCTGCGAAATCAGCCATCCACAAGCTGAATCAGCAGCAACAATCCGAAAACAATTGATTGCAAGACCGATATGTGAAATACCCTTGTATTGACGGAATGAAAATACAAGGCCATTATCGTCTGGAAATAATTGCGTGTGATTTTGGGTAACCTTTGATCAGGGGCAAGATTAATTCTTTTGTAATTTCTTTCACAAGATATAATGTGAGAACACAAACATAAGAAATAACAATTAGCAGGTAACTTTATCCTTAAAAACGTTGATATCTTTACTTGTACTAAACCTATTCAGCATTCATGGAACCCTTTCGGTTGTCCTGCAATTATTCTTATTAATAATCATCTTGGGCTTAGTCAAGAGTGCATAATTTCAGGGCGATTAAAAGGAATGCCCCGCTGTGCTCAAGACCTCTGACTGCAGGCGTAAAGTCCGCTAAAAGGGTAAAAGTAAGAAGACCAACAATTGGAAAAGAGTCGCAGGATGAAAATTTCAAAACGACGATGGCGGCGCCTCTTGCTGCAGCTTCTACTTAGCAGTTGTTGTTGCGGAAGGGGCAGGAATGGAGCGGGCTCGTAGGGAATGGGGTGGCACAATGTGGCAAGGAGTCGCCGTACTGAGGTCATGCCAGTCAACCGAATAAATGAAACAACAAAGGCTGAGATACAGACACGAGCACAAGCACACACTTACCGCCACATAAAATATGCGAAAGCATAAGGTGGCTTTCCCTCTTCTCCTCCTCCCGAAACGGAGGAGGTCGCTCCAAAGTGTCCTGGGATGCGAGGATTGGGAGTCGCAGTTCCACACCAGACTCATAGTCGCAGTCTGAGCTCCGCATATAAATATACATTTTTCTTTTCTTTTTTGCATTCGCCATAGCTCGGTAAAATGAAATTTACTGGAGCGAAAAATATTGTATGCTGCTTTGGGGATGGACTGGAAGCTGAGTGCTCGGATCTGGTGACTCCGCTGGGTTATAATGCGGATAAACCCATTAACGCATGATTTGGCAAAAAGTTCGCCAATGCGACTCATATTCATTGGGAATTTCTTGTTTCTCTAGTGATTTATGCTTGGCCGATACAGATTGTGTGTGCTAAATACTCGAAAATTATATTTATTGATTGGGTTAAATGTGTGTTAAATATCAGCATACAGCGGGATAAGAAAAACATGTTAATATTCTATATATTAAGCTTGGTGTTTGTGATTTAGTGGTGTCTATTGTGGTCATTAAAATCTAAATATTTTTTGGATGTGATTTTTCCATTAAAACAAAAACACATAAATAGAAATATCCAATTATTTTGCCAGTGACTGTTACCTTTTTTGTTGTACACATTTAATCAATTAGATCTGGCTCTCTGCTTTGCTGCTGGCAAAGGCAGCTTAACAACCCGAATTACCTCCAAGGCGCACTAGAAAATATATTTTCCTTGCGGGAAGTGGGGGCGGCAAGGGGGTCATGCCACTACAGTTGCACAGAGGGAAAACAGCAGAAACACTTTGCCACTACCTTTCAGTTCACAGTTTTTTCCAGATGCCTTCCTCCACTCCGTTTTTCTTGTACTTGTGCTGCAGTTACGTCTGTCGTTCAAAGCGACTAAAATTTTACTGACTTTGACAAGCTGCCTCCTGGCCCGCACCCCTCCTCCTCTTGCCCCACCCCCGCCTCCTTGAGAACCCCGAACCCCGAACCCCAAACCCTGAATGTGTGTGCACTCAGTCAGAATTGTGCCTTGTAAATAGGATTCATCTCGCGACGAGTCGCGACCAACAGCCGCTTGGTTCTGCCCGGGCACAAAATGCAAAATATTACGCGGCTCTGGCTGAGAATCTAGATGCACTGAAGGAAATGGGGGTAGGAAACAAGGGTGGATGTGAATATAGAACTATTTTCTGATTAGAGTATGTAGTTCATCTTCGTAAGTTACTTGAAATAATAATATAACAAAGGATAAGTTATAATCCTGTTCAAAGAAGATTATGTCCATTTATGGGTGATATCCTTTTCCATTATGGAATAGGACATCCATTCGAAGATGTCCTTATGAATTCTACCAGCTATTTCGCCCAGTGTAGTTCTCCCTCAAAGGCGTCCTCAGAACGTTGATGTTGCTGTTGCCATTGCTGCTGCCTCTGTTTTGCGCCCAGACACTCAAGTAAATGGTCGACAGGCAGTCGGGAGTTGGGAGTGGGCAGTGGGGGATGGGGTGTGGGGTGTGGGGAGTCCACCCCCCGCCACGTTAGTCCGCCCAGCTTGCACAGTTTCCATCTATCTATCTATCCAGCATCCATCCATGCATCCATACTACCATTTCGACCATTTTCGCCATGTCAGGCGGCAGCCAAAAGTGCGCTCATCTGTGGTTCGCCTGGCAAAAAGTTTGGCGTATCTATGAGTCTGCTGCGTCGGTTGTTCGTGTGTGTGTGTGCTGGTGTGTATCTGCTTGTCAATTTATCCTTTAGTTTCTCTTTCATTCCTTTTTTTCGCCCACTGGCCACCCATCGCAGCCGCCTGTTAGTTGCGTTTGTGGTCTGCCTTTGTGTGAAATTACGAAGTCTCCGCCGTCTCGCTTCCGCCGCCTGCTAACTGTTTAATTAAAGACTGCGGAAAAGGGAGTTGTCGTGCGAAAGATATCGCTGGCTGGCCCTCGAAGCCACCGTTATCATACAGCCGTTGGATGATGTAGATACATTGATTATGCTCTTATGACTTACTATGATATCGCGTAACTCAATTATTTTGGTCAATCATTTATGGTAAGAATCCCGAACTAATAGGGAAGTGGATTCACTTTGAATGCGGTCATCTACATGTCCTGACCTCCAAACATTGTAACTGCCCTAAATATATATAGCCCTATTCCTATAATACATATTGTGGGCTTCAATCCACATATCGAGTAGTTTCTAATAATAATCCCAACTTAAATGGGGCTATAAAAGGTTGTGTTCTCCCATTTAAGTACGCGTATGTTTCAGTAATTACATAATTGAAATGAGAACGCTGCGACAAAAGCGTCAAAGGCGAGTCAAGCTGAACAAGGGATTATCCGCGATTCCGCAATTCAGTTGTGAAGCTGAGCACATGTGCACACACTCGTATGGCGCTGTTGCTCTTGATTTGGACTTGTGTGCCATATCCAATGCCGATGCCAATCCTTTGGTGGCTGCAAGCAAACATCGTCCAGGCAACAAGCATCCAACGAGCAGCACACACAACAAAAGGCAGCAGACTCGCATTACTCGTTGCCAGGAATATATCACGGCCAACACAATCCCTCCCCGGGCTTCTGGCCATCTTGTGATGAGGATTGAATGGCAACGACTGCTGCCAGCGGGGAGCATTCAAAAGGCAAGGAGCAGAAGGAGCAAGAGGTGGAGGAGGAGGAGGTGCCCTCCGCTGTATAGGCAGATGCAGGAGGCGCTTGTTAAATTCTTTTGCATTTAGTTTTGCTGTCGATAATGATGCTGCGTCGGCAGCAGACTTCGAAACACTGGAGCCCAGCTCCGCCCCATTCCCATCCATCGAAGGCACCTTCCTTTTCCACCTCCAAAGCCTTTCAGTTGCCGACAACCAGACGAAGATGTCGATTTTGATGCATGCTTATGCTCGCTTATCCTCCTCGTTGTCTTTCCATACTCTTTTAGAGGATATAGAAGATGGATCATGCATTATGTAGTTCGGAACCATAGCCCTTTTTACTCGTTTGAAATATGGAAATTCATTTAATTTATCTAAGAACGGTTACTTCAAAACTGTTACGTAAAGTCGAAATAAGTTTTTTTCGAACCCGATCGATTTGGGTCTACTTTAAAATCGATTTTTAAAAAAGGGTATTATCGCACGCAACTTGAAGGCAGGATAATCATGTTCGAGTATTATATTCCCTTTTGATTCTCGTTTCTGGAGCCCTTCACTTGCATCTGCTGCCTGCTCCCACATCCTCGTTTCCTCCCTCACTTGTCGACATCCAGCTGCGGCAATATATGCAAATTATTCCTGGGAAGCTCCAAACGAAGCTTCGAGAAGGAAGGGCTTAATACAATTTACTTGGATAAAGTAACGAATTATTGAACCATACGGTACGCCCTGGACAAAAGAAATAATTTAATAAATTCAAATGGGTTAGCAAAGCCATAAGGATCCCATAGCCCATAGCCCATAGCCCATATCCGGTGGATTAACTCACTCTAAGCTCGATTCGCTCCACGCCTTCCCATCAACGCCTCGGGTTTTTCTGAAAGCGAGCTCCCAATTGAATTAAATGCCTGTCGAGATTGCCCATGCCTTTGGCCAATATTTTGAAAGCTGAAAGCGGACCACTACTCCCAGCACCTCTGAATGCCCAAAAATCGAACAAAAGAAGAGTGGGAAAGATACTCGAGCCGAAGAAGTGCAAAGAACTCTCGAAATGAAACTGGTTCTGGCCCAAAACCCAAGCCAAATTGTATCTGTCTTCGCCTCGTGTGTCGCTGTGTGTAAGCAAAGCGATGTGGAGTGGCTCCCAGCTCTCAGCTGGTGTTTGAAAATGTGCTAAGTTCTCGCTTTTGTATGCACAAAGGGGCCAGAAGTGGGGCCAGTGGGGTAGAGTAAACAACTTTGCGAAATGGCGGACAATTATGGGAGATGCGCCGCCGCCGGTTGGCAGTGCTATCTGCGAAAGATACTTGGGGAAGCCGAGGACAGTTGCCACTTTGGTCACGTACCAAAAAACGATTGCAGCTCCAGATATGCACACATTTACACACACTCAGTGTATATGTATATACTTGGGTCTATATTTGGGTCAACTTTGCGCCTGATTTTGTAAGCAAATATTAATTTCGCCCTGGCGCTTTCGCTTTGTTCCGTTTCCAGGAATATTGTCTCCTCCGGGTCCGTTTCTGACGCCCAGTCCATCGCCATCGATCTCAGCTAGCCCTCGTCTGCAACCATCGCCATCGCTCTCGCCGTTCCCACAGGATGTGGTGCTCGTAGCCGGTGGCAGCCAAGTAAACGCCAACAGCAATCCCCAGGAACACGTAAGTTGATCTCGGCGAGAAAGGACCAAATATCTCGAAATTTAATCTTTAATCTCGATCTTTAAATATAGGGAAATATAATACATATTGAGCAGAATCTAAAATTCATTTTGTTCAATTCATTTCCTCTTTTAGGAGCGCAAGGCGGCGACGCCTGGCAGGAGACAGTCCATCCACCAGTTCACCAATGGCAGTCCCAATGCTGGAACAGTCGTCTTCCAGCCGAGCCCCTCACAATCGCCGGCCGCTGCCACGACGGTCATCGGCGTGACCAGTGGTGGCCTCATAGCCACCGCCGCCGGAGGAACTGGAGCCGGTCTGAGTGCCGGTGTAGGAGCCGGGAGCAGTTCCGGAGTAGGTATTGGAGTCACGCTGCACGGAAATGCCATCGGGAACGAGCTGAATGCCACTCTGGTGGGATCGAATAATATCCAGCTCAATAAGGTATGTAGATCTTCCACAGATCGCATTAAGTATACGCCGATATCATAATATCAAATTGCTTATGAATTCGCTATTCTTTCCGATTATTCATTACAGAAGGGCACAAAGCGGGCAACCCAGCAGCAGCAACAACAACAGCAACAGCTGGGACACCAGATCTTCAGCAGCGCCGTTGCACCCACCTCGATCAGCAGTGCGACTGCGGTGGCAGCCGGCGGCGGAGGCTATGGACAGTTCAATGCCACCGCCATCAGCACGCCCACCTCGTTCGCCACGGCCGGCAGTGTGGTCAGCAGCAGCGCCAAAGGTCCGACGAAGGGTCAGAAGGGGCAGCAGCAGCAGCACCAGCAGTTCCAGCACTACCAGAGCAGCAGTCCCCTGATAGCGGACAGTCCCATCCCGAGTCCCAGCGGCGCCATTGCAGCGGCGGCGATTAAGCCTCCAACCCCGCAGCCCCAACAAATGCAGATGCTGCCCCAGCAGTTCACCATCTCCCAGCAGCCGCAGCAGCAGCAGCAGGCGCAGCAGGTCTTTCAGTTCATCCAGGGACCGCAGGGCCAGCTCATAGCCACCACTCCCCAACAACAGCAGCCCATCCAGCAGCAGCAACAGCAGCAGCCACAGCCTGTCCAGCAGCAGCAGCATCGATTCGTTAGCAATGCCGGAGTCACGGGAATGTCTACCGGCAAGACCGGCAAGGCACCGCAGCAGATTCTGCCCAAGCCGCAACAGGAGCTTCAGCAGCAGAAGAAGGGTACGAACGGCGGAGCACAGATCTCGCAGACGGCGCAGCAAACTGGCCAGGCCAACAATCCCACCCAACAGCAACAGATCCTGCTACCTGCCACCACCAACCAGCCGCAGCAGTTGCTCCTTAACCAGATGCCCGTGCTGGTACAGCAGAATCCGCAGGGCGTGCAGCTGATTCTGCGTCCACCTACGCCCCAGCTGACGACCACACCGTCCCTGGTCATCCAGCAAAATGCCCGCGGGCAACCACAACTGCAGACGCAGCCGGCACAACAACAACTGCTGCGGATAGTGGGCACCAATGGAGCGACAATGCAGCTGGCTGCCGCGCCCACCTTCATTGTGTCCTCGCAGGCGAACCTCATCCATCAGACGGCGGCGGGTCAGTTCCAGAGCGCCATCAAGTCTGGCACGCAGCTCACGGGTCTGCATGCGGCTCTAGCACAGGCACAGGCCCAGGCCCAGGCGCAGGCGCCACGATCTCAGCCGTTTGCCACGACGGCCACGTTGAACACCCAGCTCCTTGGTCAGAGTGTGGCCGCCCAGCTGCAAAACTTGCAGCTGGCTGCGGCCCAAATTCAGATGCCCAACGGCCTCACCGCCATATCGCAACTGCCAGCTCATCTGCAACAGAGCTTGGGTGGAGCCACCATCAATCTGAATCAGCTGAATGGGGCGCATATCCAGCAAATAGCCAACGCTTTTCAGGCGCCACAGGCTCCAGGAACGAATAGTGGTGGAGCTACCAGCACGACAGAGCTCTTCACACAATCCTCGCCGGCACATGTGCCGCTGGCCGTTACCCCGGAGCCATTGCGTCAGCCCACGCCAGTGCCCATGATGCAGCAACAACAACAGGCTGCGATGGCGACCATTCAGTTGCAACAGCAGCAGCAACAACAGCAGCAGGCGCAGATTCAGCAGTTGCAGCATCAACTGCAGCAAACACAGTCCCAGGTGCAGCAGGCCCAGCAATCTGTCCAGGCGACAACTGTCCCGGAGCCCAAAAAGAAGCCGCGACCCCGCAAAAAGAAGCAACCTCCGGCTCCAACTCCGCCAGCAGCCTCTCCGACAGTTGCACCCGCTGATGTGAGACCCCCGACGCCTCAGAAGATAGCCATCGCCGCCACGCCCGCGCCACAGCCAACTGTACGCGCCAAGTCTCCCTCGCCACCACCAACGACGATCCAGCGAAGTAGCAATGGAAAGCTCGATCTCGGCGATGTGATGAAGTTTTGCGGAATCACGGGAGACGATGACGACGACGAGGACTATGGAATGGGCCTAGACACAGGGCTAGCATCAGAACCAGAGCCAGCTCAAGCCCACGCGACTCCCACAGGAGCAGCGACGGCGGCCAGCAGCGGCGACATCATGATCTCCATACCGAACCAAAACGGCAGCGATGGCCTGCCTTTTACCTTGACCATTCCCGCGCCGCAGCCCCAGTCTTCGACGGGATCTCAGGCGGCGGGAAACGAATCAGCCACCGAAATACCAAATATCCTCATCAAGATCGATCCAAGTGCCGAGGCAGCGGTGCCGCCATTTGGTTTATCCACGCCTCGGTTGCCCACAGCAGAGGAAATCCAGAAGCAGGCGCAGCAACATTTGGCACAACAGGCGGCTGCTGCTGCAGCGGCGGCAAAGGCGACCACTGCCACACCCACCATAAACATTAGCCTGCCTAGCATGACACTGCAGCCGCAGGTTGCGCCGGCACCAGTTGTGACACAAACTCCTGCACCAACCTCGAACCCGGTGTCCACTACAGTTGTTGTAAAGCCAAGAAGGAAGCCCGCGGTACGAAGGAATGCCAAGAAACCTGACGTGACCAGCAGCGCAAGCAATATGATCTCCTCCAGCAGTGGCACCACCACCACGATCAGCAGCAGCACTAGTACCATCCTAAACAACAGTCAACCCACCACAGTAAACACCATCACCCTGACTACGCCCACGCCAGTGACAAGTAGCAGCAATTCCACCCTAATGCTGACCCACGGAACTCCGACGGCAGTGCCAAGTCAGATTGGCAATATTCAGATCTCACAGGTGCATAATCATCATCAATCCACCTTGCCGGTGAGCAGTGCGGTGGAGAACAAGATTCAGATAATGCCGATCCTGCCACCGGGAGCCACAGTGATGGGCGGAACACCAGGAACCGGAGGCCATGCCCCCGCCACGCAATCAACGCAGTTGGTCTTTCAGCCAGCAGCGCCTTCAGTGGCGCCTACGATTACTTCGGACTCCACTGGCTTCAAGCTCTCCAGCGATGGTCGGCAAATGCAGCTAGTGGCCATACCACAGGCCACTCCCCCGTCGCCAGCAGCCAGTGCTGCACAGCCATCGGTTTCAACGCCCACTCCTGCGCTAACTGCCGGAGGAGCTACAATTCTGCCACCTCAGTTAACCGGAATGCCTGCCAATGTATCGGTTTCTGTGGGATCCCCTGCCTCGGCTGCGGCTCTTGTGCCTCAGCTAACTGGAAGCCTCACACTCACCGTGTCGGAGCAATGCGAGCGGTTGATCCTGCGACATGATCCGAACAATCCCCAAGATCATCAATCGCAGCTCATCCTGCAGGCTCTGCTCAAAGGCGCTCTGCCCAATGTGACCATCATTAATGAGCCGACGCGCGTGGATCCCAACAAACAGACAACACCGATGTTGCAGCCGCAGCAGCAAGTTATCCAAATACCCCAGCCCCTAACGCAGCCTCAGCCTATCCTGCAGCAGCAACAGCAGCAACCCAAGGTTTCAAACGCCCCCAAAATAGAAGTTAAAGGTGAGTGAAGTCAAACTCAGGCAAAGCAATCTTTGACAAATTTGTCTTTATTACAAGAGCAAAGATTTATAAATACAATAATTGTTTTCTTTCCTTGCAGTGGCTAACAACAGAAAGTTGACTGGCCAGGGAGCACATCCCGCCAGCAGTATGCTTGGAATGACTAGCACCACGACTACCATGTCAACGATGAAACCACCGGCCAACCTGCCCGCCAAGCAGAACGAAGTCGTATCCTTCCCGCCGCTACCACTGAACTCACAGGTTCTCATTCAGCAGCAGCCTATGATTTCTGCGCAGCTACAGCCTCAGTTGCAACCCGTCACTGTGCCCGTGAGCTTGCCCACTCAGCCGGTACCGATTCCATCTCCGGCGCCGGCTCCACAACTGGCCAACAATGGCCAGCAGCGGTACATTGCCCTGCCGCCCATCGATCCCACCACCCAGCAGTTGTTCTGCCTGAACAGCGTCACGAATCAGATAACGGCGATGAGTGCGGGCCAGACGGCGGCTTCGATTGGTCCCACAGAGCGGTTGCTCATTGCTCCAGCGGGTATCAATGCGCAGCAGCTGGCCCAATGTCTGCAGTTGGGGCAACTTCATTTCAACGACGTGAATCCACTGCCGGCTCAGCAGCAACAGCAGCAAGTGGCGACGACCTCGTCTTCGATGACACTTTCTATGCCACTGCGACCTCAGCCACCGCAGCAGCAAATAGTGCATCCCATCCAACCAATCACGAACGGACTGGCCATCACCACAACGGCCAGCAGCACGCTGACCACAACCACTAGCACCACTTCGTTAACGACAGTGACCAAGCAGGTGGCCAATGTGGCGCCGATTATAGATCAAAGCAAAGCGAAACTGGAGCCGGCTAAGGCAGCCACTAGTGGGGCCGGTGGCGGAGCGGTGGTCAAAAAGAAGCCGGTGAGGAAGCCTAAGTCCACGCCGACCAATGCCTCCGAGTTGGCCAATCTCAAAAACGCCAGCGTAGTCAAGCCGATGCCAAAGCTGGATCCCCTTTCGCAAAAGCCCAACAATAATCCGGTGCAGATCGTGCAGCCTAATGTTGCCAGTGGAAAGCAGATGATTGTGGTGGGCAGCTCCAGTTGCACAACAACTACCACAACTACGATGAGCGCCAGCATCCAGCCATTCCAGACAACGAGTGGCACCAAATTGGTGGGCGTTACGGTGCCCATGCAGCAGCAGCAACCCAGTGGTGCGGCAGCTATATTGCAACAGCAGCAGCAGCAGAGGACGAGCTTCAGCTTGACGGCAACCACAGTGGCGACACCTGCCCCGATGCCTTCTCCAACGGTAGCGTCTGTTGTCAGCCAACTCCAAATGCAGCAACTTCCAACCCAGCAGTCGCAGCAGCAACAACAGCTGCAGCCGCAGCAGCAGCAACCGTTGCAAGCTCCTAAGCAACAACAACCGCAACCAAATACTGTGTCCCGAGTGCAAACGATCCAACTTACGCCCCAGATGCAACAGATCTTCAAGCAGGTCCAGATGCAGATCCAGTTCCTCACCATTAAGCTGCAGAATAAGTCCACTTTCTTGCCCGTCTCCCCGGAAATTGATGCGGCGACCATTGCCGCTTACAACAAACCGATGACGGATGCGGAGATAAATCTGGCACTGCAGCGGCTCTTCGCAGAGCAGCACCGGATTTTGGCCTCCGGCAAAGAGGTGCCCACTCCAGAGGGTATGTTGCCAACAGCAAATGGAACTGGAGGCTTTAGCCTGATGCCACAACCAGTGCAGCAACAGCAGCAGCAGCAGTCACAGTTGCAATCAACAGTTCCTGAGCCACTGAAGACAATCGTTCCGGCCAATGTGGTTCAGCCCAACAACCACTCTTCTACCCCTGCAGGAGCGAGCACTGGTGGTGCCACAACTGCTCCCAATGCTCAGCAGAATATCACACAGAGGATACACATCTACCCCATGCAACACCAACAACAACAACAGCAGCAGCAGCAGCAGCAGCAACAGCAGCAGCAACAACAGCAGCAGCAGCTGCAACAGGCCGGAGCCAAACCAAAGCAGGCACAACCCAAGCCGCAGCAGGAGCAACACCCACAACTCCAAATAAAACCCAAAGAACCGCCTAACAGGAACAAAGCGAATAGCCAGCCGCAGCAGCAAAATCCCCAGCAAATGCAACAACAGCCACCCAATGGAAGCATCAATATGTTGCCACAAAAAGTGAATATGCTGCCGGTTGTCCAGCAACAGCAGCAGCAGCAGCAACCACAACATCAGCAGCCACCAATGCTTAACAAAAGCGGGCCACCTCCACTGATCTTCGCCAGCTCCACAAATATGCTGAGCAACAGCAATAGCAACAACCTCCACACTAGCAATTCTGCAATGCAAGTGAACAACATGTTGCCCCTGCCACCATTGCAGCCCCAACAGCAGCCGCAGCAGCAGTTACAGCAGCAACCAACTCCAATCCTGCCACCAGTAGCACCGCCAATGGCCATGGGAGTGGCGCCAGGACCCATTGCAAGTCTAGTGCCATCCCTCCCGACCATACCGAGTCTGCCGCTGTATATGCCGAACAAAATGGACGAAATGCCAACACAGAAACCCAAAATTGCACGCCTCTCCTTGTGAGTAGTTGGTTGATCAATGCCGATTTCTCGAAAAGCGGCCAACTGGATTGCAGATATAGCAATGCACCATCGAGCTACGTACTAACTTTTCTTTTTTTCGCAGATTCGTTCGCCAACTGGAGGTCGATCAGGAAAGCTGTCTGAAGCCGGATTACGTGAAGCCTTTCCGCACAAAGGATGAGGCTGTAAAAAGGCTAATCAGGTAGAAAGCTGTTTAACATGATGGAAAAGTGAGCGCATTGCTAACATGTTTTACTTTTTAGATATCATTGCATGCATGAGAACGACGTAGAGTTGCCTTCTGACGAAGACGAGGAGTTTGAGTCCACTGCTCTGGAATTCCAGGACAAATTCCGCCAACTAAACGGCAAGTTCCAGGAAATTCTGATGCAGGAGTCGACGGTGAGCATAAAATTGCACTTCCTAGTATTTGATCTAATCGTGTATCTAATCTGATTTACAGCTGCCACACCGAACTTCTGAGATACTACAAATGCAGCAGCTTATGATCGATGATCTCAAGGGCGAGATTAATGAAATTCGAACCGCTGAAAAGGAGTTAGAGCAGCAGCTGAAGGAGGAGCAAAATACTGAAAAAACGACAGGGGGAAGCGATGTTCTGTCGGAGGCAAAAGTTAAGGAGGAGATCAAACAGGAACCGATTGATAAGTCTGCCCAACCAGACGGCGTTGTTGACAAATTTGATTTGCTGAAAAATAGCGCTGATGTCAACAAAGCATTCAGCAAGTCGCAGCCACAGCAGTCTACTACAGTAAAGCAAGAGGAAAGCAACGAAGCTGGGGAACCTTCTGTAAATGGATCTGTGAAGAGCGAAGGACACGACAAGGAGTCGTCGAAATACATTAAGAAGGACTACGACAATTTCGACATCGAGTCTGAACTGACGACCAGCTTCATCATGAAAAAGGTAGAAAACAAAGCGGCCTTGGCGAAGAGCGCTGAGAATCGCTACCAGGAAAGAAATATGATGGACCAACAGCAGCAGCAGCAACATATCAAAGCCAATGGAGGAGATCCCGTAGACCAGGAAGATGGCTGGTACTGCCTGCAAAAGGAGCTTAACCTGATGAATAACGATCATATGCAGCAACCGCAGCCACAACTAAATGGAAACCAGCAGCATCTGCCCATTAATCGCCAACCGGCGCCTCAGCAATCGCACTTCATGGACAACTCAAATTCTAACAACATGATGGGCAATAGCAACCACATGTCGGATCTGTTCCCTAATGGTTGCATTGACAAGAGCAACCAGAGCAGCACCAGCAGCAGCAACAGCAGTTGCGTTAGCGAAAGCCTTGCTGGTTCTAATCCTGTGAAGACTGTCTCCTCATGCAGCGGCCAACGCGAACAACCGGTGGTCATGGATGCTGAGCAGCAAAACGAGCATCCCGCCATCAGTGAGTTCTTTAGCAGCGATTCGGACGTACAGAAATCTGTGGAGACACGACTAGAGGCAATGTTTGGGGAGTCGCCAGTGCACTTGGACGTTAAGAGCAGCAACGATGCCCACGACATTGAGTCGAACCTGGACGAGATTTTTGGCGACTCGAAATCGCCAGCTGCCAACCACAAAAGTAAAATGAGCATGTGGGTGCCAGACGCATCATTTATGCAGCAAACACCGCAGCAACAGACGTCACAACAGCAGCAGCAATACGCAGGTCCACAGCAACCATCACAGCAGCAGCATCACATCGAACTGAACTGCAACAACAATCCGCGCTGGATGCAAAGCATGGAGGCGCACTACAGTGACTTTCTTTCCAGCGGTACTAGCAATGGAGAGCTTGTCAATGGAGGAGAATCGCGGAAACGGAGCTGGGATAGCCAACTTATGGGCTCTGGCAGCGATATGGAAGATGACAACAGCAGCAAGCGTCTGTGCACGGCTTCATCATCCTCCTCTTCATCGCCCATGTCGTCGCAGCAGCAGCACGTTCAGGTTGCACAGCATGGTCTCTTGGACTCGGACATGTTCCCCCAGATGTTGATGGATCAGCAGCCACATCAGCAACAGCAACAGGTGCAGCAGCAACACAACTTTGCCTACGCCAACATAATGGATCAGCAGCAGCAGCAACAGCACCAGCAGCAACATTTCCAGCATAACCTGCAGCAACAGATCCAACAGCAGCAGCAGATGCATGTGAGCCACATGGGCGGAGCAGCAGTAGTGGCAGGCGGCGAGTACGACGATGACATCAGTCGGCATGTGGCCAGTGCCATCGACAGCATCCTGAATCTGCAGAACAGCGGCGATTCGCTGCAGTTCTCCCTGGGCTCTATCCTCGGCGATAGCATGTTGGACGATCAACGGCAAGCTGGCGCCAATTTGCCCAGCTGCCAGCAGGAGCAGGTGATCCAGCGTCGCCGCCATCTGGGCGAGGAGATGAACGACTGTCTGATTAGCGGCGGTGGTTCCGCGGTTAGCGGAGTGGCGGACAACAGTAGTAACATACTGCTAGAGCACCACCACCAGCAGCATCAGTTGATGCAGAGCCACCAACAACAGCCGCACCTGCAGCATCACCACCATCAGAACATGGCGCAAGCCCAGGCGCAGCACATGGGGCAGCTGAACGACTTTAGCTGCGTAGCCGGTGGCTTGGATGATCCAGTCAAGTCCATAATGACATCCTGACTTGGAGCCCCGAGCAGCACACCAGCAGCGGAAAATGCCTCGAACAGTCTGATACTAGAGTTTAATGCCACCACCTTGTGAAAAACGGATGATAATAATGACTTCCTGATTGTATAGATACCCGTCTTAGTTGTCCTTGGTTATTGTTTTACCCCCCGAGTACAACCTTTAATTAGATCTAAGTTGAGTCCACGTAGCATAAATTGTTTTTACTTATTGTTTGTATTGTTTAGACCAATGTTTTGTACAATATTTGAACAGCCCTCAGATAACCAATTACTTAATGCAAGGGGAAAGAACGTAGAGAGAGAGGTGAAAGTTATGGCATCTACAATATGGCAGAGCCCCAATAAAGCTAAAAAAGCAATTGACGTGGTGAATTGAAAACTAAACGACGAATAGCATCAAATGCTTCTCACAGAGGTACACTAAATGGAACATAATATAACAAATAACAAATTATATAGCTACAGTAACTAAGAGAAAGCCCCTAGACAATTTATTCAAATGAAACCAAGAAAGTACGTAATGATGGGAATAAACACGCGCAAAGTGAAAGAAATGAAGGGAAAACGAATTGGTTGTATAACTTATAATTAAGTTACTTGAAGCAATTCTAAGAAACAATTAAAATCACGTTGCCAATTTTGTTGTCGTTTGAATATCAAGCAGAGCAATTTATCCGCATCCAATCGATTTTTAAAAGCCCAGATAAAATATATTTATTTACGCATTACGTTGCGAAGGAGTTTTGTAAATAGTTAGAGCATGCAGCAGTTTCAGTCGCGCCCCAGAAACTGTTCAATCAGATTATAAATATATAGCTAAGCATTTTTAAAAGGATATCATTTCAAGCGCTTCAAGTACGACTGCTTCTGATATTACAGACAAACAAACCAATCAACCTATTGACGTGCTCAATTCGAGAGTAAAGAATATTTCGGCATAGCTACGGGTGTCATTGGAAAGCAAATGCAAAGATCTTAGGGATTAACGAGTACCAACTATGGCAAACTACGAAGCAAACCAAAAGCAGTTCAAAAATCACAATTTTAGCCAATTTAGTTTAAACATTTATAAATTATTGAATCTAATGTAATATCTTATACACTTAAACCTAAACCGATCGATTGAAACGAGAAGCTAGCAGCTTTGAGATGAGGAACCACAGGAAATCAAATAACAACAAATTAACGAATCGTATCAATTGTATCTCGATCTTGCGACAAATCTGACTTGTGATTTGTGCCACGTTTTAAATATAGATGTCTGATTAGCTTGTAAACATACATAATAATAAATACGATTAAAGTCTATACAAAAACCCACACTCAGTAAGCCACTACGAAGTTTATCCAAAACGAATCGCGAGTCGCGGAAGCAATTGTAAATGTTTGACGTGGGGAGGGCGGGCGCCACGCATGAATTACATACCAATTACAATACTAACTACTACTTTAATACCACCACTAACACACCTACTACGATACGTACTACCGTGGACGGATTGCTTGTATTACGTGTAGTCTGTAAGGGAATTTCGAGAGGTACCATATTTTAAGATGTGCTTCGTTTATTCAGGCCACCCATCCATGACCCCTGACCCCACGAACCTGAACCCTAACCATACCCACAACCGTAACCATCAACTCCCCCGCAAAACATTGTCACCCACTTGCCCAGCGTCCCGTCTGAGTTGCATGATCTTGTATTTCTATTTTGAAACTTTCTAGTTATTATTCAAAGACAACCACTTTCGTGTAAAAATGTATATGTAATAGCATAATTTAAGTTGGCAACTCAAAACTGAATAAACCTAACTCTACTGATAGTTTACTAATGCGAATTGTTTTAAGTTGTATTTAGAACGAAATCGAACTCAGAACTCAAATCGGTCGCCCCTCCCGCAACCAACTTTCCACAACAACAACAAAGCGCAGTGTCGTCACTTGAATTGTTCAGCTAAATGTGTCTAAATGTAATTAAACATAAAGAGAAAACTAAAGATTTTTAAACAAACATTGTGAGTTTTATTAAACATCATCAGCATAGGGAGAGAGAGGACAGCAAAGCAAAGCAAAGGAAACAAACAACTTTAATATTTGATAGTTTATTAAGCCCATCCATTCATAGTCGTCATAAACATTAAGTACATAAAAGAAAAATCAACAAAAGATTCAATATAAATCTCACTGAAACGCAACAAACCGAAAACCCAACTGAAAACGAAAACTTAATAAAAGAAAATGCAATTAAAGTTCATGCATTTGCGTTTGTACTGGGTGAAATGTTCTTAGGAAAATAAAGAAAATTCCATACAATTTTAAAAACACTTGCATTTTATTATTGGCTCCGCTTTAAATTCACAGGTTTGCCTGTGGGATCGAAAATGTTCTGGTCATTTTCATTGAGATTCGTATATTCGGTACCTTCAAGACTACACACAAATCGACTTTGTGCTGAGTGCAACTGATTCCTAACATCATGCTAACATAAACGTACACGTTTTACTACCATAGATTACAAGGTTAAAATCTGCTGGCAGATTCGATTGATGCTAGTGTCTTAAAAATGGGCTAGCAATGCCCCAGTATCGTGTTACAATACGTGCTTATAGTAGGAAATAAATAATTACAAAATAACAATTATCAGTACACAGAATATTATACAATCGATTCCCACCGATTTTCAAATGACATGTTAAATAGGAAGATGGGATGATTCGCTTAGAATCCCTGGGGTAACAAATGCGGCTTTTTGTTGGTGCAACCTCGAATTTAACAGCACCCAACGATAGTGGATTAATATAACTGGCCTTCTATATGTAGTACGACTTAGTAAGTAATGATTCATTTTAGCAGAGGTCTGGCGTTAAAAATTTGATATTGCACCCTAATTTGTTGCCCCAGGGGTTACAATTTCTTTCCATCGATCCATCCCAGTGTAGGGCATTGCTTTATTCGATTAGCCAACTGTGCTCTGCGTATCTCTAAGCTTAGCATAGTATTTGGCATTTGCGCTAAATTGCGAATACGAGTGAAACGATAGGGGCAGCATAAATGTGCCGACTCCATTCGGTTTCCAGTTAGTTTCGCCGACGCAACTAAGTTGCGATGCCCTCTAATTGCATTACTTAGGCGGTAGTTAAGTCTTGAGCGGATAAACCGGCAGTGGATGGCCCTCCGAATTGAAGACCCATTGCTCCAGGTCGATTTCCTTGCGGTCGTCGCTAAACAGCAGGTAGAAGTACTTCAGGGTCTCGCTCATCCAAAAGCTCTCCATCAGATCGCGTAGACGCGTACTCTGAGCGTTCTTTACATTTCCCATTGATGTGTAGCCCGCATTTACTTTAGCGTGAGTCTCGAACGCCTGGAAGATTGTCCATCCCATGTCCTGGTATGTGCGATTGCCAGTTAATGAGTAGAAGTAATAGAGACTCTCCACAAACTCCGGGCGCAACAGGTTGTGGGCGTCATTGGGCTTCACATAAATGTCCTGATCGTCCTTTTCGGTTAGCGCAAAATAGGAGATCTCAGCAGCCAAATTTGTGGGATTCATCTTGTAGGTCTGATAGCATGTATCCAATAAATCCCTCGCAAGTATAAGGTGCGAGTCGGGCATCCCGTTCTGGTGGCCCAGAATCAAAGTGCCCGGCAGATAACACGTAAGATGGTCCATTTTCGGCTTGAAGTCTTTGCCATTGATCAGCTCGCCAATGTAAACCCAGTGCTCGCGTGGCGTGCGCCGCATCAGCTGAGTTAGAACGCCATCGACTGCTTGCATGTAGTCCAAAATAAGGCTGGAATAATCAGAGGTTAATGTAAGATAATAATGTAAATAACAAACATTTGGTACTGCGTACTAATTATCTATCAAGAATTCTTTCTTCGTGATATAAATTCTTAGATTCAATTACACACTCAATTACGTACTTATCATTATCTTTACGGCCAGTCTGAATCCACTGTTTGAGCAAGTACTCATAGTAGGAGTCTCCACGAGCGCCAAGGGAAATAGTGGCATAGTTTCGGAAAGTTCCGGTGTTGGCGTTTATGAATATGGGCACCAAGCCATGGTTCTTCTCCAGATCATGCACCTTCTCGTTTACTTTCTGAGCAACCTGATAAGTCAATTATCTTAAAATTTGTCATGGCCTTTATCTGATCTATTTACCTGTTCGTAAATGGAAATGTTTGTAGACCGACTCAAATCACGAAACTCTAGCTGAATGGTGGTGACCTCACTTGTGGAGCTATCAGGCGACCACTTCGGCGAATGCGCCGAAAGATCCCCGAGGTTCACATCGGAATAGGGGATATTTGACGGTGATTGAAAGGCGGGAAGTAAACGGTTGCCCAGCTCTGCAGCCTTGGACAAAAACATTGTATCGCCGCTCAGGTGATAAGCAGACAGCAGTCCGCCTAGGACACGTATGGTGACCTCAAACAGGTTCACATCGCGTTTAGTGTCAAAGCGCAGTGAGTGCTCTACCCAGTCGCGTGCTTCCTTAAATTCTGTGTAGACATTGAGAAGTGGAAGGCATTTCCGTCAAATAATGATTTCGTTGACACAAGAATATAGCCTTCTTACCATCATCCAGTCCCATTATGTACATGGTGTCCAGCGAGTCAATAATGGTTAGTCCCAGACCGAACCATTCGTGGGAGTACTGGGAGATGGGCTTCAGGTTGTCGTGTCCCCAGGCATACTTCTTGTATCCCGCCCAAGAGTGCTTGAAGGCGGCCACCACAGCTGACTGTCGTTCATTGGTGGCGCCATGGAAGTGCTGACCCTTGGCCAGAAGAGGCTTGATCTTCTTGAGGTGCTGTTTGAAGCTCACGCCGCCCAGAGTGAGTGGGTTCTTGATTGCTTGCTCGAGCTGGTCGCCCTCGCTTAGCGGGTCTGTGGGATCCTGTGCGACGGGCTCCTCTACATTGTTCAGGATGTCGATTCCACCGTTGTCCTGCTCCTTGTTATTATCGGGCGGCGGTAAGGCCACGGCCATGGCAATGGCTTGAGGAAGTCCTTGAGCAGCCACCGTCTCCGGCAGGCGGACCACGTTTTCCGCTGAATTCGCTTCTCCATAGGCAACCAGCTCATTAAACTGAAATTAATTGGTATTGAGATATCAATAAAAGGTTTCACTGGAAGTGTGCCGTATGCGCAATAAATCAAACACCAATAGTCAATCGTAGTGACACGCATGCTATCTTGATAAGCAAACATCGCCAGCCACTTCGGCGCTTATCAATAAAGCGTGGGCCTATTTACCTTATCACTTAGCGCCTCCGCCTGAGGTGCTTTCTTATCTACCGAAACAGATGCTGCAGCTGTGTCTTTGGGCACATCCTTAACCACGCCGGGATGATGGTGCGGATTCGGCAGGGGCATTTGATATGGCGCCACCTCGGCCTTGGTGTCCGCGTCCTTTAAACTGGCGGCCAGCAGCTGATCGCCACTTAGGCATAGCAGCACCGTTACACAGAATCCAGTAATGCCCAGGATAATGAGATTCCGCTGACAACGCGGCAGCTGATTCCAAGCCTGAATCGTGCGACAAAAGAGCGTACTTATCAGTTCTGTGTTTCTTGAGCATTTCCAAGGGTTCCGCCAGTTGGTTACATACCCGCCGCAGGCTCTTTCTGCCCCGCTCGTCCACCGACGCCGCTGATCCCGGCGGGAGTGTGAGCGTTATGTGACCGCCTTCTTTCATGGCGATTTGCTAAATGCTGTCGCCGGAATTCAGAGTGTGAGAAAGTTGGTTGGGAAATTCCACAGCATTCGCCTCGAATAAAAATCGATTGCTGTGCTGTGCGCCGCTGGCAGCGGAGGAATCTGAGCTAACAAGCCAACGTTGGTCCAACTACTACCTCCTTCACTCACTAATCATCTCTATACGTGCCATTAATTAATTACGTGCATTAATTAATATATGCTAATTCTGGTCCTCACTACGCAGAATTACAAATAAGAGATTCTAAAATTATTTCACGAGAGCTGCATTTTTGGAGCTGCTCGAACCAGTGCTGCCAACTTGTTCACCAGTCTGGCCAAATCGGATGTTGGGGGCTAACTGCCAATAAGCTTGATTGTTTAGTCTTGAAATCAAATTAAATGATATCTTGGCTATTATTTGAATTTTAAGGAAGAGTAGCCAAATTAATTCGAAGTAGCCAATACTTTTGAAATTCCAGCGAAAGTGATACAAATTTAGCCAAATGTAGCTACAAAATAGCATGGCCAACACTAGTCTCACTACAAAGTGATTTCTTTGGCATCCCTGGTAAACTTCCAAGTGTGCCCGCAATTCAGCGTAAAAGTGGTCACATCTGGTCACACCGCATTTTCACATCAAAATTTCGACGGAAGTCGGTGCGTAAAACCATAGCCCATTTTTAGTTAGATAATAACACTTAAAACCCAAAAAATAACACCTACAGCCGGCTACGATACCGATATACCCATAGGAAAGCGAACCGCAAACCGACGATGCTCCGAACCCGACTCATCCAGGCGGCCAGCTCCGCCCAGCGAGCGTTCTCCACCAGCCAGAAGGCACTGGCGGCCAAGCAGATGACCGTGCGGGATGCCCTCAACAGTGCTTTGGACGACGAGCTGGCCCGCGACGACCGCGTCTTCATCCTGGGCGAGGAGGTGGCCCAGTACGATGGTGCTTACAAGGTGAGATCTGCGACTTTTTCCTACCCCTGCTCGATTACGTAAACACCAAGCAGGCGGTTGCGACGACGACAGCTGATGCAGGTGGCCATGATGGGGGAAGTAGGTGGTCAGCGGGGTGATATATGCGTGCTATGTGTAACTACTGATAGTGATTCCGAACAGGTCGGCGCGCATCCGAATGCGTGATCGAAATTGGCAAGGTCACGCAGAATGTGTGTGACCGACTGTGTGCTGATAATATAGATTGCCTTCTAAAACAGCGATTTGTTTACCTATCTGTGGATGTTTTGATTGCCGGCGTAATGCATTAATATAAACTACATATGTGGGAGCTACAA